AGGAGGAAAACAATTTCGGCTTTTCTTTGGCGCTAACAAATTCTATTAGGGCACGAAATGAAAATAGTTTTAAATATTTCACCTACGGTTATCTTATTGGCTTGGGATAGTATATGCTTTCCGTTCCACATACTCGTTTATTTACATTTCGAATTTTATCTTCCTGCCTCGGAGCCATTTGACAAATCATTTCCTCTCCCGACATTTTCCAAAATAAAGAAATTAATGTTTATCATTTTTATGAATCCACTCAAAATGCAAATGCCTGCCGATATCTATGGTTGTTTTTCCCCGGCTTATAGAGACATTCGCGTTGAATCACCTGCTCTGTAACAAATTTATAGGTTTTCCCCCTTCCCATCTCGGCATTTCGAACAAAACACACCATCCAATCCATTTTCAATATTTGATTTATTTTAATTTGTAATAAATTACAAACTTTCGTTTGTGGCCAACAGTATGTTTACCCCGAGGCGGTGGCCACGCCCTCGCTGCCCTAATGGTTTTCCAATGCTAATCTGTGAGAAAAGCAGGCGGCAAAAACGGCCAAAAGAAAGTGAGAGTCCCATCGCAGATGAATTATGAAATTCGAACTCCATCGGATAGTTGTTGAAACTCGAGTATTCTGAGGTGCTGGCTGAGGTTCGTCTTTGGCGGCGGTCAGGGCCAAGTCGCTGAAAATGATGAATGGAAAGTGCGAGGGTTTAGTGACTTGGGCCTTAGTCGGATGCGGGAATACAGTGTTAGTCATCAATGTAACTATATAGTACTGGTAGTAGAGAAATATACTTGAGAAACTTACTGTCTTGTGGTGTATTGGTTTACTGCGATTTCATACTCCTTTGTGGTTGAGGGCTTAGGTTAAGCATTTATTGGGTCATTAGACTCATATTTCTAAGAGGTTTGGGCAAAAGATAGTTTATTATTTTAGACCTCATACCTAAAGCTTCGGGGCCTGCTGTCCTTAGTGATAATATTTATTTAAAATTGCACTATAACTTTTATCAAGTCTTTCTTTTGCTTTTCAACAGTTAATAAATAACATAATACATTACACAAAAATATATCTTCTTTCCAATATTGTTTTGAATAAACATCACATTTTAAACTAAATGAACCCTTTTACAAAACACCTGCCCCTAAAACCCCACCCTTTAAGCCAATTAGATCTCTAATACAGCCAATAAATCAACCAGAAATTAGCGCAGGCTGCACTAGGTCCCATTTTTTATGAAACATGTTAACCCTTTTTTTCCCAAAGCCATATGAAAATGGTATTAGCCAAGCGCCAGACCGCGGCTAGACAAAGAGCCAGACACAATAAAAAGTCAGGAAGGAGGGCAGAAAACCATAGACTTTGGCGGTAGTCAGTGCGAATGGGCATTCTGGAGAACACGCAAAACCACTCTTAACTCGTTTACCTTATTTATGGCCATAATTTGTTAAGCAAAAGGTCGAAAACTAAACGCGAAACTCCACTCAAAGGGGAGCCAGCTGGCGGGGGCCACGGGTGCGGGGAAGTATGTACAGGGCGGCAAGGTGCGATGCATAATTAAGATAATAAAATATTAATTAAAATTAGGTTCACGCATATGCAAACACAGCAAGAAGAGAACCGACTCTGAGAACGGACAAAGGTGGAGGCGACAAATATTTGCATGAGTCTCCATGATAATGACGTTGATTAGGACGATGACGTTGCCGTTGATAGCCTCGTTATTGGGCCCGACGACTTGCCTTTAATTAATTAATTAAAAATGCAGAACAAACTTTGTCTTTTTTGTATGTTTTATGCTAATTTCCCACTGACCATAGTCAAACACCTGCAAAAAGCGAGCCGTAAAAATTAATGCAAAGCCCCAAAAGGGTTGAATGGCCACAAGGGATGTCCAGAACGATTTTAAAATGTTCATCAAATAAAGGGTATTTTTTATAAATCTATATAATTTTATCTAATTAAAAAATGTACAAAAATATATTATACTTTTAGAGTTTTTAAAGAAATCAAAATAATATTTTCTTTATAAATATCTCTAAGCGTTTCTTTACCATCTTATGTTCCATCTTGAAAGAGTGTTTAAAAAATCAGTATAACTTCCATTATTGTTTTGCAAATTTTTGGTTTTTTAGCCAGTAAAGCTAACCCTTGTCGGCTAATGGAAATCTGGTGTTTACGCTTGGACTTAGGGCGTGTTTAATCAGAGAAAAAAAAATTTGACGTATAACCGCAAAGCGCGAAATCTGATACATTCCGATTTGACTTTGCCTCTTTGCATAATTTATTTGGATTGGGGCTTTGGTATTTGGTTTTTTTTTTCTGTTTTGTTTGTATATTTTTGGCCGTTGAGCTTATGGATAATTTTCGGTTTGGACCAACCGCTTAATCACTTTTACCTGACACATGTGGGCAACTAATTTGTGAATATTTCTTCCCTGGGCAATTGGAAGTGTCAGAGGGGGATTGGTCTTTGGATTGGGGTTCATATTCGGGATTGGCTTTTCGTTAATTTGGAGCTTCGACTCTTGGAGTTTTGGAGGTTGGAGGTTGCGGAGTGAAAGCGAAAGCCATCTACGGGTTCGGTAGACCAAAAAATGTTGACACACGCATGAAACGACCCCTGGCCCCATGATTGATGGGTGACCCCGATTCCTCCGCTCCCCTAGACTTCCCTAGCTTTGTTCTTTTTTTTCTAGTCGGGGCTGCATTAATTAACTAATTTAATTTTTATATTTTGTTGCCAGTTCTTATTTTGGAGTTGGAAAAAATATGCAGCTGCATAGTTTTGTAAACTTTTTCGCGGGCCAGAGGAAGAAGGGTAAAAAGTGCTGGAAGGGGCCTTATCGGTGGCTTTCACTCATTTCCCCACCGCCCTTTATTATCATAATTTACGCAGGCCCCGGGGCGTGGCCTCCCGACTAGTGCATTTGATGGGTAACATGATGAATTTTGACAGGGCACAAGTCCGAATTGGCCCATAAATTCATCCGCTCGGACATTTTCAAATGTTTCACAATTTTCCATGCGTTTTGTGATCATTTATTTGCATACCTAATGATGTCCGGCCATCCCGTCGTCGAAATAAATCGTCAATCAATTTTTGGTGGGCCTTAGATAGGATCTGGGCCATGTTCCTATCGCCATAACGAATGCAATTTGTGGCAACCAAATCGACTAATTTGGCCAACGACAAAAAACCACTTAAAGTTAAAGCGATTTTATTGTTCGTTCTTTTTGAATAATATTTTCATGCTGCTTGGAATTCTTCAACCTTGTTGAGGTCTTACCAAAAATATTTCATAATTTTCTGGCTCTGCCTTTTGGCCAGAATCACCCAATTAAATTTTTGAATTTTTGCGATGGCCAAAACCAAAACATTTCCGACCAAAGTGGCCGACAAGAGACAATGACAAGGATGTCAACGTTGCCGCCTTTTTAAAACGCAAATTCCATGGAAGCAGTCAGCATGTCAACGTTTTGGTAGCCGTGTCTGGACCAGGTCCAAAACGTTGCCAACAAGGGGTGGCCAATGGCCATCCCGACCGCCTTTTCCTCTTTTTTGCTGACGGGGGGAGAAGCGGGGGCTTAGAAAAACATGAGAAATTTAAAGAAGCCGGCAGGCTGGACGCCCGACCAACCGGCGAAGGCGAACATCCAGCATCGGGATCGGTTCTGTGGATGTTCTGTGTTCTCGTCCGTCTGCAAAAATTGCAAGTGACAGGCAATTCATCATTCATTTGGTTTTAGTCTTGACTGACTGACTGACCAGCTTTGGGGCTCGGGATCCAGGATTCGGGAGCTGGAGCTGCCGGACGAGGCACGAATGATTGGGGCGACTCCTTTTTTGTCTGTGGCATGCAATTTTATGGGCAGCAAAACTTTTAGCATAGCCATCGCTTTGACAATTTAATGCATTTAAAGCTTTACAAGAGCAGGTCTCTAGTCTGGCCAGAACCCTCGACCAGCCTCGACCGCCCATGGTAAGTGGAACAGTGGAATAAATTGGAGTTTCTGTAAAAAGAGTCTTTAGAGGGCATTGTGTCTGCAATAAGAACCTATCCACCCACTGTAGAGCTGCCTAGTGTTTCGGTCTTTTGGAATTTTAAATTGTTTTAATGCGTGCGTCGAGCATCCTGAGACCTGGGACCACGCCCCGTCTCGTCGTCTACGTCTACGGATGATGTCGTCAAAGTGGTGGAGTCCCCCAAGCCCTCTTATCCTCCTCCTGCTCCAACAGGATCAATCAATTTTTTAGCACACTCGAACCCGAGGCGAAGCTGATGAAGTGCCGCCTCTGGGGTTTGGAACTGATTCTTTTCCCGAGTCCCGGATGCTGTTTAATATGCAGCGAGTGACACCGCCAAGCGCGGCGACATTGAGCAACTGCACTGATTTTGGAGCTGGGCGATGGGTGCTGGGTGTCTCCCCCTCCAACTACAATTCCAACTCATCCACCGCTCAGCCCTCTTCTCCCTCCGGACTGCATTCAATCCCATCCATCTTTTATCGGTTGACTGCAGTTCATAAATTTTTAAACGCTCGCCGGCGCGGCGCACAGCAAAACAAACAAGTTTGGGACTTGGATCGGGCGAGATGTGTATGTGTGTATAAATTTCAGTCTGTCTGTGGACAGACACGCATGTAATCAATTTTTATATTTTAGAAGAATCCCCCCAGGTGAGGCAGGTGCTGCTGTGTGTCCAGCTCCATTATAATTGGATTACCCGTTGGACTCGAGTGGAAGACGTTAAACTTTATGCTCTCGCATTTTCCGACTCAGCGAAAAGAAGTCTAGACTAGTTTTGTCTGGGGGGTCCTGGTGAATTGCGAGGATTTTGTATACGGGTATTATCACTTTAAAGTCTGCTAAAATATTTCAATCAGCATCCGCAAAACAGGTTTGGTCTTAAGCCAAAACTTGTGCTGGATTTTACTTCCTTTAAATACTATAACTTAGTAAGCTTGGCAAAGCCTTTTAAGATTGTTAAGATAACCAGTTCAGGATCAGTACTTAACTTAAAACTTTGCAGCTGCGAGACAGGTGCATTCTCTGAAGGATAATCCTGAATATCCTTGGCGGCATGTTTAACTCTCTGATTGGACGCTTTCGGTTCTTGTACTGCCTGATCTATGGCCCTGAAAGCGAGGAGAATATGCGGATCCTACTCATCCGGCGGGTGATTAGCTTCTTCATTGGACTCTTTCTGGGGTACTTGCTCTGGAAAATGGTGGCCCTGAATTTCAGTTTCGGCGTTGGACTCGTCGATCTGTCGGCTTTCACAATCTTCGTCTTGTTTACCGCCACAATGTTTTCCCTGAACTGCGGATTTCGAACAGTGACCTTGCTTATTTTTGTGGCTTTGGTGGGCAGGTCGGGCAGGACATATCTCCGGGCTGTGGTATTTGCCTTTATCATTGCCGGTCCAATCGATAACTTGGTGAAGAATGCTGGCGAAGTTGCCAGAGTCTTTGAGTGCACCACCGTGCTGACCTACAACCTCTCAAAGACCCGCTTTGATCTGATGGCCAAGCCCTTTACGAACACCCTCCAGAACATGAGCGAGGACATGGAGGAAGTGCGGAAGACCTTCGGCGAGCTTCAGGGCGTCCTCACGGATCTCAAGTATGCCGTAGAGCAGTCAGACATTGAAGATGACAAATTCGGAGACGAGGATTCTAAAAATCTATTCCGAAGACTGGCCAGACAGACCGACGAAAGTAAAAGCTCAGAGCGGGAGGAATCTGGGGGCAAGGAACTTCCCACACCCGCCGAGGTGCAGGATCGTTTCAAGAGGAATATGAGGAACCGCTGTAAGCATCAGCTACGAGGCGGCCACCGGGCATGCCAGGAGGTCTTTCGCCAGGGCTACCGCAAGTGCACCACCAACTTCCCCTCCCTGATTTCCAAGGCCGTTTGCTGGCCCTACCGGGTGGACGTCATCTGCGAAATGGATCTCTTCGGGGATCCGGACAGGATATGCGATCCCTCTGATGTGGTGCCGCGCAACTTTGGCGATACATATGTGGGGTTGTTGCGGGCCGAGCAGGAGCTCTTCGACAACAGCTCCCAGATAGAGGTGTCCTACCAGCTGAAGAACGAAGAGGTGGCGAAGTCTCACATCCAGTCCGCCCAGCGTACCTCGCAGGCTTTTGCCGAGGACTTTGAACGACGTCGACGTATATTCACTGGGGTTATGAGTGTCCTTCAGAAGTTCCTGTGCCTGTTTATCCTTCGAGTGGTCTACGCTTCCATTTACTATTTTATTAAGTACCGCACTGATGTGGATTTTGATAATTTTTACATCACCGACTACTTCAGACACGTGGACGAAAGGCGACGAAAGGTACGCAGTGAGTCTGCCATCCTGCCACTTCGCACCTACGAAAAGTCCAAGTATATAGATTTGAAGAAAATCTGTAGTCGAACTTACCAGGAGTCCACCACGGTGGTCTACAGCCTGGTGCAGCTACTCCTGGAACTGGTCTCCGCCGGGCTGTTTATAATGTTAGACAGGATTGTGGTGGAGCTGCTCCTCATCATTCGAAATAGATCCTTGATTACGTATCACCAGGAAGGCGAGCATGAAGTGCGGTTTCATGTGAGTATATCTTTAGAGTGAGTAAGGCTTTAACCAAAAGAAACCTCCTCCACCAGATCAGTGGAGCTGGACAGATGGCCCGCCTATTGCGGACCACAATGCACAATTTCAACATCCACGAACGCGTCTCCACCTCCTTGACCAACCAGGAGTGTCTTCCCAATCCTCATATCCTGCCCCGAAGCTTCTACTACAAACTGTTTTTTATCTACGTAGTGATTGTGGTGTTGATCTACCATGCCACCACGTTTCTAAGGATGCGTCGCCTGATCTGCAGCTACTTCTACTTCAAGCGCGAAAAGCAGCGCATCCTGTATTTGTACAATCGAATCCACCGCCAGAGGATCAGAGCCCTGTACAACTTAATGAAAGTCGCGGAGCGTAATTGGTCCACATTCCGGATCCAGCGGACTGTCAACCTCTTTCTCCGTCTCCGGCTGAGTTTTCCCAAGTATTTTGGATGGCTACGGCATTTCTATTGCGTCAAATACGGTTGCTTCGTGTGTCGGGACCTGGAAGATGACACGTTTATCACTTGCCCCACCTGTGGCCTGCCTTACTGTAAGACCTGTGCCGAGGACCTCAAAAATTCCTGCCTCCATTGTGGCGCGTCTCTCCACAAGTCTACTGAAATGTTACCCTGGGTTTCAGATGACGAGAGCAGTGTGGAGGTTTACTCTTACAGGAAAAAGAAGTAGTCATTATTATTTGAAATGTAACCATCACCATAATACTGAAAGATACATGTACAAATAGAGTTACTTACTCCAACAATCAGTAACAGAATGAAAGATATTTAATGGCATTAGCAAACTTTATCCCATGTGCTAAAAGCCGAGGTAAAAGTTTCTTTTGAAATTAGAAATCCTCTTCGGGAAAAGACATTACAATTATTTTACAAGAACTCCTGAGAGCCCCACCCTGGCACTACCCTTTATTAACTGTCCTTCCGTATGATAATCGTATCTTCAACTTAATTGCCATTTTTCCAGTCTGTCAAACTTAATTCTCAACATTTCTGCCAGCCATTTTCCGACTATTTCCCTGGCCCTGGCCCATGGCGCTGTCTGCCAGTTGTCTGCTGAAAGTTGAGGAGTATTTCTTTGAAAACAACAAACATCGCTCAATTAGTTGTCCACCCTTTTGTCTGAGCAGCCCCCAATTCCCAGTCCGGCTGCCCTCCTGCCCCCTTTTGGCCACATAATTATGCACATGTCTGGTATCGCTCCATGGGGGGGTTAAAAATGGGGGAAAACTTTTTTGTCCTTAGACAAACTTTGCTCAAGCGGCGCTGATTCGATTATGCTAGTAGGAGACTGTGCCGCAGAGGAATTCCAGCACTAGCCAACACCATCGGACGGGATACATGCTGTTCGGTTGCAAGGATTAAGTTACAAAATTGTTAATTAAAAATAATAAAAACGCTAATTGAAGAAATGCCTACAGTAATGCAGGCAGGCGCTCATCTCGGCCTCCAAAGTGAAAGCAGAACAAAAGTTTTTCGTTTGCGAAATTGTCTAGAGTCGAGGGTCTGGAGTCTAGAGTCTAGACTCTGTGGATGGGTTGGGTGAAACTGCTTTCGGCACTTTTCCCGGCCGGGCCGGGGCTAGAACAGTTGCAACAATGCAGAGGACAAAGTCTTCCAGTTTTAATATTCATAAGACTTTTGGCCCAGCCTCTGCTGCTAATAAAATAATTATGGAAATAGGTAATGATGGGTAAGGAAGCACCGCAACCGAAAGGAGCTCCGCATTTCCATTGAAATTTTACATATTTTATTGAAGAGAAGAGGAAAAAAAATGCAAAGTTTTCTTGGGAAAACCAAATACATCGGAAAGTGGGAAGAATCCAAAAATGTTAGTCTTCGGGCTGGTCGGCATGCCGTGTGCAAAGGTGATTATTTGACGTTCACACCTTGTTGCAGTGACTCCCGTCCTTCCCATTTACCTTCCTGGCCCTCCTCCTCCCCGAATCAGCCGAATGGGGCGAGGTCGTCGGCGGTTGTTGTGATCAGCCACAAAAGTGACAGGTGTGACACTCTGCCTGACAGCCCCGACTCCCCTTCATCCACAGTCCCAGACATCTGCCCAGACTATGAAGACGCAACTAGACGAGACATTGGTGGCTACGGAAAAAACGTAAAAACGTTGGAGAAAAACTGAACAAAAAACCAGGAGAATTATTTCCTAGAAACTGCAGACGGATGGATGGATGAACGAGCAATGTAAAGACCAGCTAGCATAAAAAATGAGCGAAAACTGGAGCTGAGTTCCTTAAACGAATTGGTAATGCTCTCTATAAAGTGTTATGAAAATAATAAACTAATAAAATATATATTCAAAAATTGAACTAAAAAAATATTGAGTTTTGGAATGAAATTGTTGAAATACTTCAAGTTGGTAGTCTTTAAAAATGTATATTCCTTTTCTTATAAATGCTATAACATCCCTAGACTTGTTAGTATTTAAAATTTTTAAAACCTTCACACACAAGAAGGTTCACAAACTTTTATATCAAAAATACCAAAAGTGCAAAAGTGCTGAAATATAATCGCCAAGAGTCCCTCAACTGCCTTTATCATCATGGACACAACTTGGCGTTGATAATGAAGGAAGGAGCAGCGAAACGATGGCCCATGGATGGTTAGATGTTTGCTGGTTGGTCAGTGAATTCTTTTGTTTTCCCCATTTTTTTTTGTTACCAGCTCTGTTCCAGTTGTTTGCCTGCAATTTGCGACTCCCAGTGCACAGGCACCAGTGCCCAGTACCCAGTGCCGAGTGCCCAGCAAAGAACCTGGTCCCGGTACCAGATTCAGGGCCAAAGTGAACTATTTAGCGAAGGGAGATCTGGACCGGGCAGGGGGATCCGGCAACAGCAGGTGGTAAAGCGTAGAGGTATATTGTGCGGAACATTTCAATTAGAAAAAAGAGGCAGAAGTGGCTGGGTGGAAGAAACAGAAACCTCGGACCGACAGCCTGTCGTCGCCCCCAAATCCCAGCCCGCTGGTTCGGTCTGCGCCCGCCTTTGAAGTACTTCTCCCGATTCTGACGATTCGCGACTCGAGTCTGGATATTTTTTTTTTGCTCCCCACACCTTGCATTGCTTGCTATTATTTCAATAAAAATTCTTTAATATTATTTTAAGTTTGTTATGGCAGGTTAGTTTCCTTCTTTTTCTACCTCTATTTCTCTTTGTGCTCGTATTTAATCTTTATAATTAAAATTTCAGCAAAAAATGGAAAAAATCCCCCAGAATGGAAAGAGGCGATGAAGATGCCTTCAGCGCAAAGGGCCGGAAACGTTTTCAAAATTGATTAAAGTAATTGATTTGGAAGCGGTTATTCGGTTTTTGCGGATTATTCTTTTTTTCCAGCTACATATTCTAGGTACATTTGTAAAAATAGATTTAATTGAATTTTTATACAATTGTGACAAGAGCACTTGGAGAATAGAGAGCGGTCTTCCAGCAGTAATCTATTTTTAAAAGCCTCTTATAAAACTAATTGAGGGTTGTAGTTCTTCTCAGCAGTGTTTTACTCATATACCTCAAAGAATTATATTTAATTTTTTTTACTTAATAATTTTCTCTCTGTAGAACTAAACCAATTTTCACGGTTTGTTATGTGTGAGCCAGAAATGTGATAACCAACTATCTTTTGATCTTGCCACTTCGCTCACATACGATTCGTTAATTGGATTCCTCACATGGCCAAACAAGAACGTGTGAATGTATTTATTTCGCTTTTAGAATAGAAATTATATTGCAACCACATAAAAATCTCAGCTTTGTCAAGTCGAGCTCCAAACTCCAAGCACCAGACCCAATTTTCACACACAGAGAAGTGAAAAGGAGTGCAACTGAAACCCATTGCACCACAAATCTTTCACTCGGTTTTATTCACCCACTTTTTTTTGTATTTTTTTGGGTTTTTGGTTTTTCTGCATTAAAAGTGCAAAAACCAAAAAAAAAAAAACTCCACTATGCGTGTTGAACTCAGACTTTTGTGCCAAACATTTGGCTCCGGTGGCTCTGGTGGAGAATGGCGGGTTGTTAGCTCAGCTCAGCTAACGCCTTTTCGGTCTTTCACAGCCAAAGCGCGAAAGAGTTAAAAAGCGAAGCACAGAAAGCAGCAATAGCACCGACCCAGCAACCCAACAACCCAGGCAGCAGCTCCAAAGCATTTTCACCCTATTATTTCGAGCAATTTCATCAAAACTCGACTGGGGCCCGGCCTCTGCTCCAAATTGTAACCACAAAACCTCCCAGTCCAGATGCCCAGTTGGTAGGAATACACTGTCCAATAGAGATGATAGTTTCTAAATGGTTTAAAAGATTAAAAAATAAAAGTTTTGAAATATATTTAAGGATTTGAAGACCCTCCTAATAAATACACCTCTTAAAACATATCAAAGTTTCTTCATTTATCTACGAAAGGGAAGTTTTTATTTTTTATCTTTGTTTAAAGTATTTCAAATAATTTTCTTTTAGGTTTTAAAAACTAAACAGCTTACCCTTTTCTCAAAAACCCTCATCTCTAGTCTTCTGTGGTTTTTTAGCTTCGTTCCGAATGCTTTTTGTCCACTTACCCGCTTTCAAGCCCGCCACCGCCTCCTGTTTACCAAACGCCAACCTCCATGGTGCTTCTCCCCATCGAGCTGCGCTGAGCTGCCTGCTCTCAATAGAAGGCAGACAGGAGCAGGTTTTTCTTTTTCTTTATTTCGAAATGGCCAGCAAACGGACTGTCGACTGTCGACTGGGCCCAACTGACTCTGTTTTTCTTATTTGGTTTCCACTTTTATGTAGATTGGTATTTATTTTCCACGCGAAAACTAGCGAAAAAAAAAGCTGGGCTAGAGAAGCGGCAGTAGTTGTTCTCACACTATTTTCTGGGGTCTGGAATCTGGGGGTCCGGTCTCTGGTCTATGGGCCTGCGGTGTTCCGTAACTCCCCTCATCGCTCTTATTATCGCGTCAAGCGCAATGCAACAATAACAGGAACAGGGAAACGAGTCCAACTATTTTGCGGTCGGTTGGCTGACAAATGGCAACCAACGCCATCGAAGCATTTAGCCAAAGTCCGACCCCAAAACACCAAAACTGTCGAAAGTGTCGACACAGATCGCTCTCAGGCGTCTCACTATCGAATAGGGGAACTAAAAAAAGAAATAGTTTTGTAGGTTTAAAATTATTTTTAAACTTTTAAAGTTTGAAACTCAATTTAGTTAAAAATTTAATGGAATATGTAATATGATTAGATTTAAAAAAAAAAAGAGCATTCTTCAGTCGACATTATCATCTTTTCTAATCGAGTTTCTTGACTTAGTTTAAAACCATTGCTTGGTAATTACATTTAGTTTACCAGATTTTGATACGTTAATTGTAAATTGTGCAAATACGTATAATTGCATTGGGTGCTCCCGGTGGTGGTCCCCTCTCCTTTCGCACCCAAATCCGAATCCGGATCAGAAATGAGTGCTAGAGTTGGTCTTGCCTGGCTGCCTTTGGTCTTTTTTCTATACATTTTTTTTTGTTTAGTTACAGACACTGGCTTTGTCTTGGCATTCCGCTTTAGTTTTGCTAAATTAGCAAGCAACCTGATTACTTCCACTCCTACCGAGTCCCTCTCCATTCTGGCGTGAAGAAGACAAATGCCTGGAATTCTTTTCTCAAGCCTTTTGGCTGCGCTTGTGATATGCACTTGAGTGGTGCCAGGAGGCAATTAATAGCAGAAACAATTGTTTTCAC